TAATTCCGTCGTTTTCATTTTAATTCCGTTGTTTTCTTTCTAATTCCGTTGTTTTCTTTTAAACTTCCATTGTTTTCATACAAATTCCGTTGTTTTCATTCTATTTCCATTGTTTTGATTCAAATTCTTTTCTGTTCATTCTAATTCTGTTGTTTGTTTTAAACTTCCATTGTTTTCATTCAAATTCTGTTTTTTTCATTCAAATTCCATTGTTTTCATTCTAATTCCATTGTTTTCATTCAAATTCCATTGTTTGTTCCCAAATTCTGTTGTTTTCATTCAAATTCCGTCGTTTTCATTTTAAAATGTGTGTGTGTCTGAGAAAATATAATAGAGCCGTCTGGAGCATGTGGAGAAAGAACTCTTCAAAGGGGTAATGCCTCGTTTTAGTCAAGTAGTAACACTGGTCGGTAATAAAATGATCTGAGATTGGTTAAGAGAGGTCATAATATTTGAAAGTTGCTTCCTTGGTTTTTATCATTTTGCCAAGAAAATGCTAGATATCTTTAGAAACTGAACTGTTTTACCACCATTTAAATTTTCCTGAATTCTTAGTTTTTTTTTAATTTTAGTTGCTCTGTTTCCTTTCCGTTGCCTGTCAGCATGTGATTGGATGTGGGACAATCTTACCTGCTGGCAAGCGGCCAATGTTGGGGAGGTTGTGGAGGTTAACTGTCCGGAGCTCCTTCATGACTACACGGTCCCTGAAGATGGTGAGTGGCAACACCATATTCGGATAGTCTTATTTGAACATCAAGTTTCTTTTCATTCAGCGCAGTTTTATTCAGGCATATTTTTTTATTTGCAGAAATGGGGAAGGTCAGTCGTAACTGTACTGAATATGGATGGTCAGAGCCTTTTCCTCACTATGCGGAAGTCTGTTTCTTCTATGACAACACTACCAAACTTGTAAGGCTTTGTGGATCTTTTAATTCCATATGGCATGTACAGTATATCAAGTACACAGACTCATTCTCTGTCTTTCTCCATTAGGATCCATACTACGCATCAGTCAAAGCCCTCTACACAGTCGGCTACAGCACGTCGCTTGTGTCTCTGACTACAGCCATGGTTATTCTCTGCAGGTTCAGGTGAGCTTTCTGAGCATCCATCCATCCATCCATCCATTTCTAATCCATCTCCAGACGTCCTTCACCCCAGCAACACTTTCAAGCAGATTGGCATGCCCTGAAAATCTCCAAAGGAAGGTGTCCAATATGGACCCAGATGCCCCGACCGCTTCAGCTGGCTCCTTTCAAACACAGAAAAGCAGCAGTTCTGCTCTGAGCTCCCTTCAGATGTCCGAGCTCCTCACTTATCTCTAAGACTTTGCTAAAAGCATTTTGGAGTCCACTTGGGTCCTGGTGACAGATGTTGCAGATGATTGCAGATGTTCTTGTCTCTGCCAGGTTTCTTAGGACTCATCCATGGAGACTTCACATTACAATGCACCAACTATGCACCCTAGGCAGTGAATTTCAAGCAGACTTCAAAGAAGTATAACAGAGCTGATTATGTCACTATGATGTCTCCACAGCTGTCCATGTATGCGACAGGTTCAGGCCTAGCTACCCTACACAGGAACCTCATTTCACTTCATTGTATTTGTGACCTCACTATTTCTGTCATTGCTCAGATCCCATGACTTTAGGTAAAGGTTGGAACTTTGATGGACTAGAAAATCAATCATTGATAGGAAAAATATGTTCACAATTTTTTTAACCATTTAAATAACAAACTTGAGTTTGTGACAAAGTTTATTAAAAAGTAGCTTTTTTGTGTGTTTGTTGTTTCAAACATTCAAGCAAAAATCTATATCATTAGTCCAACAGGAGAAGAATATTGTACTTTGATAAATTATTACTAGAAGCTTTGATCATTATATAAATCATTATATTTATGTATATTCATTGAAAATAAATATCTTTAGATTCTTTAGGTTCTGGCTCTATACCTTTAGTTTCAATGACGGGCTTAATGACAGAGTCTTTAAAATTCACCCTGTTTTTACTCACTGACTAAAAGCTTGGAATCATGGAAGGGTAATGATGCGCATTTTATAGACAGTTTATTCTGAAAGGCATTTATTGGATTGTGTTTAGTTATTCATAAAGTAAAACCTTAAGCTTAAGAGGAAAATGCAAACTTCTCTTTACTTTCTTATTGCTACACAAATGCCCAGTGTGTGTGTGGGAAACTGTCAGACCTAAACCTCCGTAATGCACCACCAGATGGGTGTGGCAGTGGTTGTTTTAAGGCCACCCCACCATAAATCTTAAGGTTCAAAGACACCAATAATATCCAGTTGCAGCTTTAACATGTTTCTATCTTAGAGGTCCCTGTTCAGGGACCAGCCCTTATCTGTTATTAGAGCGAAGCTCGTCAGCATTTTTAAGTTTGCAAACACGGCACATTCAGGGATTTTTAGTTAAAGTTGCAAGAACAGGCTTTCAGATTGAATTCCACAAGGTTTCATGTGGTAATTTCTAAATCACCGCGGAGCTGGAAGGGTTAAACAGAGCACAGATGTAAAGACAAGATAAAGATGTGTATATGTCCTTTCTCATCTCTCCAGGAAGCTCCACTGCACCAGGAACTTTATTCACATGAATCTGTTTGTGTCCTTCATTTTGAGAGCCATCTCAGTCTTCATCAAGGACGGCGTGTTGTACGCTCAGGAAGACAGCGACCATTGCTTCGTGGACACAGTCAGTAACAACAACCATATATATATAT